TAGTAGCAGTCTCCTGTAGAGGTGGTGCTGTTGGTTGGACACTTACACCCTCTGGTGATAGAAAGGTGTTAGTAGCAGTCTCCTGTTGTAACTTTTCCCCTGGTGGCTTTTTCTGCTCAAAACTTTCTTCCTCTGTCTGACTAGCTCGAAAGACCTTCTCTTTTACTTGAATCTTTTCCTCTTTCTGACTAACTTGAGAGACCTTCTCTTTTACTTGAATCAATATGTCTTCTCCTTCCTCTACCTTTGTCTGAACTGAAGGCTTTGGACAAAGCAAACAAGATACCAACACCCACAATGTCAATGTGCCAACTGGCAGAGTTCCTGGGCTTTTTCTATTCTTTTTCAATCTTCACCATGATGGTTCCATTGTGATATATTCAACAACTCCTCCTTAAAAAGCCATGGGCTACATTTTTGTATTGTATCAACGTATGCCCTGACTGCTCTTGATTTTCCTGGGATGCCTCCTTCCTCTAACAATTTACTTAACACTCTTTTGGTTTGATTTTTACTAATTTCTGATCCCATATTTCTACTATAATACAACCCAACAAGATGACGCCAAACAAAACCGAGACAGAATGAAATAAAAATGGAACCACACAAAATCATTATATCAGCCTTTCTATCCTCCTGAAATGTACATCATCCTTTCTCCCTATCTGTTCCTCAGATGCAAATAGTTTTTCCTCAGATGTGAGCGGTTTTTCTTCCGTCTCACTCATCTCCAGGGACAGGCAACTTAAAACAAAAGTGAAACAAAACAAAAAAAGAATCTTAAAATGGCTACCCATCCTCTCGCCCTGCCCTCAGGGGCAAGCAGTTTACCTTATCACTTACCCTCAGTTGTTCCCCTTGCAGGCTACCAAATGCCGCAGTCTGGCTGGGCACAATTCAGGAGCCACTTGTCAAAAGAAATGAACTTTATTTTTAGAACACACACACCAAACCACACAGCTCCTCAGGAAAAACCTTCAGAGCCCAACTGCCACCACCGGCTTCCCACAAGCCTCTCAACCTCCCACACTCCTCCTGCTCTTGAGGCCAATTGGCTGGGTCGCGTGGGTGGAGCCAAAAAAAGTCCCCCAATGAGCAGCTCTGTGGTCTGAAAGGGTGGGGAAACAGCCCAATGAGCATCACCACAGAGGAGCCAATCAGTTGGCAGCTAGAATTTTGCTGGGGCCGCTGTGAGCCAATCATCAGCTGGCAGCTGGAAGTTTGCTGGCAGCTGGAAGTTTGCTGGGGCCCCTTCAGCTGTGGCTCTCAACACCAAAGGCCAAATGTTTTCTCTGATATGCAGATGCTAATTCACAAAAAGGGTGGTGGTGGGGAGCCTAGGGAAGAATATAGGTACTTTGGATTAGATAGACAGGAGTGAAGAGAGGGAAGTGGGTATGGAGGTAGAAAGGACAATAGAATGAATGAGACATTGTTACCTATGTGTATATATGACTACACAATCAGTGTAACTCTATATCATGTACAACTAGAAGAATGAGAATTTATACTCCAATTTCATAGACTGTATCAAAATTCATTCTACTGTGTATAATTAATTACAACAAATTTAAAAATAGGAAAAAATTTTTAAATTGAAAATAAAATAAAAGGGCTGGGGATGTGGCTCAGTGGTTAAGTGCTCCTGGGTTCAATCCCTGTGCCAAGAAAAAAAAAGCAAATAAATTTTTTTTAAAGAGAGAGAGAGAGAGAGAGAGAGAGAGAGAGAGAGAGAGAGATTTAATATTTATTTTTTAGTTTTCGGCGGACACAACATCTTTGTTTGTATGTGGTGCTGAGGATCAAACCCAGGCCACACGCATGCCTGGCAAGCGCGTTACCGCTTGAGCCAGATCCCCAGCCCAAAAATAAAGTTTTTCTTTCAAAAATATATGGCATAAATTTATTTTTTTGCTGGTTGGTTTCTTTCTAATAATCATCACTCTATATTCGCTACCTTTGCTTCAAGGGCATGTCAGGGTTTTATAGAGATAAGTATTTCCCTTATATCAAGAATTTTAGGGTCAAGTGTAAAAATAATAACCCTGTTTTATCTTTTATAATATGGTATCTCAGTAGCCTATCTGCTACTAGAGGGCAGGAGGCTGTGTGCCAAGTGAGGGATGTAGAGAACAGACTCACTTATTTGAAAATCTGTATAACAAAATGAACCACAGGAGGACAGTGCCGAACTACTGAAGTTAAAATAGGAGCATTCTGGGCTTGGGTGAAGTTTCCAAGAAGCAGTGCTACACATGCCATGAAATTTTTTGGCCTGCAATATTCAAATGGAAGAGGGTGGTCTCTGAGGAGGGTTTGCAGAGGCACCATAAGAATAGAAGTTCGGTAGTCCTTCAACACTTCAACATTTATTAATATCTTACTTGTAAACTACTAAAATCCAAGAACCATGGCTGTTCTGTTAATCACTGTATCCTTAGTGCCTTCACCAGGGTCTGCCACACAGTTCAATATATATTTACCAGTGAGTAAGAGACTCTCCTAAGCTCATTTTGAAAAACTTGATCTGACCTCAATATTCTGATATCTAATTCTGACGAGGTCTGCTTAGATTTTTTTTTTTTAAGTTTTTGTTTTGCTACAAGAGAAGACCAACTCATTTTCCAGAACTGGCCAGTTACACAAATAATTCTTTGTTGCTTTCGGTTTCAATCTGAATTGCATTCCAGGAAAAGCCATTTCAAATACGCCTGCAATTAATCAAGAGGTCATTTTCCCAGCTGGAAAAACACTTCTGCTAGGTCATTTTAAAACAGAATATCTGAAAGTGTATGCAACATGGAGGGAGGAAGGGAGAAACGCCACATGTCAGACTTCCAACATAGCCCTATTTTGCTGCTATTTTACAAGCATGTGGCACTGAGCTTCCAAAAACAGCTTGCAGATCGGGCCCATTGCCAGTGCTATCATAACTTATAATCATATCTGAGTGTCTTTAACTCACCTCCATGCAATAAACATGATGACTTAAAAACAAAAACTGTGTCTTGTCACTTTTTTTGCTCAATAGATTAAAGCTTCCTGTTTTATACCATTCTATGGTTAGAACTATCTTACTTGTCCCTTTCCATATATATCCAGTCTATTTTTCACCACATGGACTTTCATCCTGACCAACCATGCCTGGAACTTGTTTTCCTCATTTCTTTCCTGAACACTTTGTACTCATTAAAAATTCACCATAAGTCTCTTTTCCTCAGGGAAATATTTCTGACCAACTAATCTTAATTGGGTCTCCTTTCTATACTTACTCATAACACCTTGAATTGTTCACTTGCAATGCTTAGCAGAAATTGAAATTTTACATTTATTAATATCTTACTTGTAAACTACTAAAACTGAAGAACCATGGCTGTTCTTCTGCTAATCACTGTATCCTCAATGCCTTCACCAGGGTCTGGCACACAGTCCAATACATATTTTCCAGTGAGTAAATACAATCATGTTTAAAAATGCCCACTCTCTTTTCAGTAACATATGAACTTTGCTCTTTGCATCCTCACCTTTCAGCCTTATAGATAAAATAAAGAAATTCTGTTCACAAACACAAAACATGAATTCATGGATGTGGGCTCATGTTACTATCATGTATCTTATCATTGCCATAATCATGAGCATCATCCTATTCTTAGCTTTTGAAGATTCCATAACCCTAAAACAACCCCTATGTCGCCAAGGTAGATAAATTTCACAAAGAGCAAGGGGAGCTCAGGGATTTCACTTAGGCTTCCTTTACAATATTAGTGATTGTGCTGGATTCTAGGACTCTAGTCTAATATCAGCTATTTTCTTAATATTATTGTCAATAGAAAATCAAAACAATAACAGGAGACTTCTGGTAACATTTTGAATTGCATTATATGAAAATTTTCTCATCATCATATAATGGGAAAAAAATTCAATGAGTTATGGCAAACAAGCTTCCTTGTCACATTAGCTTGCTAGTACTGTCAAAAAAAAAAAAAGAATTCTACCATTCTCCCTTTGGGTCCCCAAAGCTCATGTCCTTCTCACATGCAAAATACATTCGTCCCATCCCAACATTCCCCAAAGTATTAATGCATCCTAGCATCAACTCAAAATCCAAAATATCATCTGAATATCATCTAAACCAGGTGGGAGGGAGTAAGATTGCAGGTGTGATTCATCCTGGGTAGAAATTCCTCTCCAATTGTGAATCTGGGAAACCAAATATATGGTTGGTCAGGCATCAGTTCTCTTCCTCTCTCTCTATTATAGCTCTTGGTAGAGACTTAACATGTAATTTTAAAGGACTCCTTCTGCTTTATTGGAGAAATCTTCTGTGGAAATCTCACCAACAAAATCAGATTCATATGGAAGGAGTCAAACTAAATTATCTTATTTCAGACATCAAATGTATATGATAAAATCCAGCAGGAATTCAAAAGTTGTGATATTGGTTGTCTCCAGCAGGGCTGTCAGAGGTTGTTAACACACTCCTTTGAGGTTTTGGCAATGGTGAATTTATGTCTAGGGTGTGGTTTTGTATTTTATATTATTTATATGCTTTATATTTGATGCACTCCTCTGAATGTGCCATATTTCATAATTTTGAAAACAGGAAGGGGATGTAATTTGTTAAAATATTGCTTTGAAAGGATCAAGAGATTTTGTTGTAACTGATTGAGTTGAGATCAAGAGACATTTCAAAATAGATTTGACTCACAGAAAGGCCCTCTCTTATAAGTTCATAAAAAAACGCTTATTTTTAAAAATGTGTTTTATATCTTTACACTTCAAATCTTTTGTTGTTGTTGTTATTAGTGAACGATGTAAAGGCTAGTTCTGATTTGATCTTTTTCTAAGTGGCCATGTAGTTGTCTCTTCCTATTTAAAAGTCCATCTTTACCTTCCATACTTCCTACATAGTCTTTTTTTTTTTCACTTTCTATTCTCTTCCATTGGTGATATGTATATTCAAGAGACATTACCAACATATCAAAATCTCTGGGACACTATGAAGGCACTACTAAGAGGAAAGTTTATTGCATTGAGCTCATTCATTAACAGAATAAAAAATCAACAAATAAATGATTTAACATCACATCTCAAAGTCCTAGAAAAAGAACAAATCAACACCAAAAGCAGTAGAAGAAAAGAAATAATTAAAATCAGAGCTGAAATCAATGTTACTGAAACAAAGGAACAGCTGAAAAAATTGACCAAACCAAAAGTTGGTTCTTTGAAAAAATAAACAAAATAGATAAGCCATGCTAACAAAAAGAAAAAGAGAAATTCAAATTACTAAAATACGTGATGAAAAAGGAAATATCACAATGTCACATCTAAAATACAGAAGATAATTAGAAACTATTTTGAAAATTTATACTCCAATAAAATAGAAAATATCAAAGACATTGACAAATTTGCAGTGGCATATGACCTACTCAAACTGAATTAGGAGGTAATACATGATTTAAACAGATCAATTTTAAGTAATGAAATAGAAAACACCATCAAAAGCCAACCAAGAAAGCACAGGACCAGACAGATTCTCAGCCGAGTTCCATGAGACATTCAAAGCAAAATTAAAGCCAATACTCCTCAAAGTATTACATGAAATAGAAAAGGAAGGAACCCTTCCAAACTCATTCTATGAGCACCATCAGTACTTGGGCTCATTACACATTATTACTTATGATTCCTATTTACAAGCTCTAAAGGATTATAAATATGTAATGCAAAAATATTAAGTCACATGTAAGTTGTTACCTATTATAAGTTATGAATTAGTGAGGATTAGAGAAAAGGAAAAAGCTTTTTGTTTAGTCCTTAAGCTTATGACACAATTTCCATAGTAGTATTTCCTTTCATCCTCTAAAGATTTCCATTTCATGTTAACATTGTTTCCTTTGAATTTGGAATTTCTCTATGCAGAAGGCCAACTGAGAGTGCTGATAATTTTCACCACTGCACATAGCATAGCAGTCTCCAACCAGGTAAAAACTGTGGATTGTTCCATGGTACCATTGGTGCCTCCCTGTGATGGCATCCAGCACATGACCATAAGCAGTAGTGATGCTGAACAGGGTACCATTCCATTTGACTGAGCCCATGTGATAATTTGCAATACCTAGACGCCTGGGTGACTTGCAATATCTAGAGACAAATTAGAAGACTAGGCAGAAAGCTTCGGGATTATTTAAATGTTGATTGTTCCAAATTCTTTAGTTTCTTGTTTCTTTGTGTCTTTAGCGAAAAGAAATAAGGAAGCTTTGATGTACTTTAGAGTATGATACATCGAGCAGCTTGTGGCTCAGACATTGTTCTGTGGATATGCTGGATCTGATTTTGAAACCTTGCCATTTCAGCTTGATGCATCAACTTGAGCTTTTCGGCTTCTTCCTAAGTGAAAAATAGACACACTAATACTTAGCAAAAAGTAAGGTCTGCTTCATTCTGATTGTCTAAACTATTGATTTGTCCTTATTTCCTTTAATCCACGGGAACAGTAAACAGTCCCTGAATCTCCCCACTCCATTCACTTACTCCAGCTTACTTCTGAAGTTATTCACACTACTACTCTTCATCTACATCCAGAAACATTGTTTCAGTCCCTGAAATATAGCTGTCCCTAGAATTCCATCCTAAAGCTCCCTTCCCATTTACACTACACAAGTTCTTTGAGTAATCTTAGTCACATCTTGACCTCAATCCTCTTTCCCAACTTTCTTTTTCATTTTTAGAAAAATATTAACTGTGTTTGTAAGAGGAAAAATTGACACAAAAACAGAATGTCTAAGTGATATGCAGCCAGGAGGCATCTGAGCCTTAGATGAGGACATGTTCCAGGTCCCCACACTTTGGAGGGAAAAATACAAGAAAATACTGAGGAGATCAAACACCAGAGTTTGCCCATAATGGCCTTCAGGTTAGAGCTCCAATCTCCCAAATACTCTAGGGCAGTTACTAAAAAACAGGTACCTGCAGGTTCCCCGATAAACCAGAGGGAAGGTTGGGGTATTGTCTGTCTCATCAGAGGCTCACATAGGAATTCCCTAAAGGATTTCGGTAGTAGCAACACTGTAGATCCCACTCACTGGAAAGGCACTCAGAAGACTATGAGGTAATGGCCTTTAGTTATCTCCTTGGGGCTTCATTCACCACATATAAACTGGGGACAGAACAGTTCTGCTTGACGGTAAACAGATTAGATGAGCAAATGCTGTAGAGGGCTTTGTACAGTGCATGGGAAATAAGAACTGCTGCTTATTGAGTGATGATAAACTAAAGGACTTGGTGAAATAAGCACTGAGTTCAAGCCCATCAGAACCAGATATGACTGATGCAAGGACAAGAGCAAAGACACTGAAATATGAAATTGACATAAAAAAGTATGATCAGAGCAAAGAATTGTCCAGAGTAATTAACAAATTAATAGAAAAAGCAAGTTACTGTGGGACAGAAATACCATGGTTTATACTTAAAATTCATATTCTTAATCTATGCCAAACACCATTCTAAATGCAAATACTAATGCATTTCATTATGACAATACCCTTAGAAAATATGTGTAACCACCATTTCCATTCTAGACAAAAAGGCACAGAGGACACAGATAACTTGCTTAAACAATGCATTTGGTAAAGGTAGAGCTCGGATGCACACCCAGCTGTCTGGCTACACAGTCCCTGCCCTTAGCCACCCTAGTAGTCTGAATCTCCCCCACGGCTACTCTTTCACGGTCTTATCCTTATAGGGAAAGGACAGAAACACAGTCCTGAGATGCAACAATTGATCAATACCCCCAGATGACGTTCCTGCTCCAACTGTTGCTGTGCCAGACACTTTGCTCTTTCTATCTCTATTTGTCTTAGTTGCTGCTGATGGAGTCTCTCCTTCTCTTCCATCATTTGCCGCATATGCCTGCGAATCTCCTCCACACTTTCTGCTTCAGCCTTGGCAGCCTCTGCTTTTGCACGTGCCTCTGAAGAGAAAAAAAACCAGATAAACCTTCTAGGACAGCTCTGTCCCTCCCTTGGGCCTCCTGTTCTCATTCATTATTGTTCTAAACCATAGAGAAAATTCCCTGCCATTGTTTTTCCTTCCAGATTACCATCTGCAGCTGATCCTGCCATATTCAGATACCACCTGAGGTTAAGAAGGTTCTTTGTCTGTCTTGCTTCAGGTGAATCATCTCAGCTAGGCCAGGACACATGAATTTCAAATTTCTGGACATTTCTTGTCTTTTTTGCATTACTTCTCTTCTCTTCTCACCTTCCATCTCCTTTTCCTTGGCTGTGAGCCTGGTCTGTCTGTAGAACAGCTTTACTCATAGACTCTTTGGACTTTAAATACTTTTGCAGAGCTTCCTCAGCCTAGGAACCCCCAAAACATGCAGTTAGAACCTGGCAATGGTGATTGGCAATATGATAAAATCATGATTCCTTTTCCATCAAACATCTTTTCCTGTTAAAAGGCGCTTTGCCTGCACCTGATGGAGATGTCCATCAAGCCTCTCCACAGGTGGGGTCCCAAACCTGGCTGAGCCAATCAGAGCACCCAAGGCCCCTTGTTCAAAGGAGGAAAAATACTATGACTTTAATGTTATAAAGGCTGATATGGGTGCTGGCAAAGACACCTGTTCTGTCACCAGGGCTGTAAACTTGGGTTAGACTTAGACCCAGCGGTATCTCTTTGTAGCCATGTGGGTAAGTTTACTTGAAAATGAAGCCAATAGTCAGGAGAATGGAGCACACTAATGAAGTAGGATTTGGAAAGAAAAAAGGAAACAGACAACTGCTGATGCTGTTTGAACACTGGAATGTGACCATCATTTTATAGTCTAGTTGGAATTGCTTTTCTTAAACACTTGAAACTAAATACCAGGCACATAATTCCCAGGCATGCTCAGTGACAGAGTAAGTCTGAGCCAGATGAGACATCAATCTCATCTCTGTTCCTATACACATGTCCTTTCTTCTGTTCTCAATGGTTTTTGTTAAAGAGGGGCCCCAGGATTTATCATAATTAATAGGTAAAACCAGGAATACCTGTATTCCTTTCCTGAATTGCTTGTGGTACTTTGTCTTCAGCTTCTCTGTCTTCTGAAGGTAGAGGTTATGGCCTCCTGGTTTAGAATAAAGCCCCTGTTTCACTACTTCTTCTAGAGGACCAAAAATATCCTGAAGAAAGCTGAGCAATGATCTGAAGAGGCTTCTTCATTCACTTACAAATGTCTTTCTGCTTTTCATCTAATAGGGTCTTCAAAGGGACAGGAATCCTCAGAGATATTAGCCACACCTCAGTACTTATGGAATTTATCTTACAGCAAATCTCTATTATTTTTGTTTAAGAAACTTCAAGGAATATAAGCAAGACTGTGCCCTTCCTGAAAAACTTTCAAGGACTTGAGAGTCTATGAAAAATGACATTTAGCTGGGCACAGTGGCACATGCCTGTGTGCCAGTGGCTTGGGAGGCTGAGGCAGGAGGTTAGGGAGTTCAAAGCCATCCTCAGCAAAAGCGAGACACTATGCAACTCAATGAGACCCTGTCTCTAAATAAAACACAAAATAGGGCTGGGGATGTGGCTCAGTGGTGGAGTGCCCTTGTGTTCAATTCCCAGTACCCACCCATCCCCACCTCCCAAAAAAAAGAAGAAAAATGACATTTACTTTCGGGTGTGAAATTTTCTGAAACCCTTCTATTTCAATTTCTGCTTTACAGGTGATCTTATGACCATAGACCTCTAACCTCAAGCCCTCGTTTTAAATGCAGCCTACTTTTCCATCATTTCTGACTTCAGTGTTTTCCACCCTCAAGGAGAAGGTAGAAGTCAATAATTAGCTGGAATGATGTCAGCTGACTAAATTAATCCTGGATACATTATACTTTAGTTGATCCAAAGGGAAATTCTTTCTGCTTTATTAATAAAAGAATACTTTGCAAATATAATGATATAAAGGGATGTACTCAATACTTTGTAAATGCAATGTGTTAAATACTTTGTAAATACAATGTTTTAAAGGAATTAAATCAATTCAAATTAGCCAATTGGTGTAACATGGGAAAGGTTGTGTGCACATTTGAAAATTTCAGATGCTAAAAGTCCAGAGTACTTTTACACATTTGTTTGTTTTCAGAATGAGAGTGATAATGTGGCCACATAAGTGACCATCATTTTATAGTCTAATAGGAATTGCTTTTCTTAAACAGGTTTTATTATACCTTTCAGAGCAAAGCTTTCTTTTCTATTAACCCTAATGCCCATGAACTAGAAAAACAGTTACCTATAATTGCTTCTGGAAACTTTGGTCCTCATCCTTGAAACAGTTCTTTGTGAAGATTTCTATGGCCTCTCTCTCTCACTGGTCCTGTGCAGGTCCAGCAGCTCTTGGAGGGTCTCTTTGGGCAGCTGCACCTTCTGGCCCATCAGCTTTTCATAGTGGGCAAGGACCTTTTTTATTGCAGCTGCATTCTCTGTCTGGGCAGTGCCAGGACTTTGTTCTCCATGAATGGCAAATCCCCACTGTTGATAGTGTTGATGTAGGTCAGCACCAAGTTCTCTAGACCTTTACCAAGGAAAAGATGCTTGTGTTATTAGAGAGATACTTTATTATCTATGCCATTGAATTCTGAGAACAGCCAGTTGCAGTGGTGCACACCTGTAAGCCCAGGGGCTTGGGAGGTTGAGGTAGGAGGATTGAGTTAAAAGTCAACCTCAGCAACATAGTAAGGCCCTGAGCATCAACTCAGCAAGACCCTGTCTCAATGTATTTTTTATAAAAATATAAAGAAGGGCTGGGGATGTGGCTCAGTGGTTCAGTACCTATGGGTTCAAGTCCTAGTAGCAAAAAGAAAACACAAAAATTTAAGAACATTCATTTAACAACATACTGCCCCCAATTTTTCAGCATTCTAAACAGTATCCAAGTAGTCTAGATAAATTCCTTTGGCAAATTATGAGAGTAAGAAGTCGGGTGTTTCCTTTTTAGAGAAAAAAAGCAGGGTTCAAAGAAAATAGGAAAAATGTCAAAATGTAGCTCATAGCGGATGGTCCACGTTTACTCCTTCTCTGGAGAAGTAAAAAGTCATGCACATTCATTTGATTGGAATGCTATATGGTTTCGCCTCTTTAACCTCCCTTTCTTTCCTTCTTCCTCAGTTATCCATTTTCTTCAAAACTCTTTCACTTTTCACAGATAAACCAGTATGGGAGATACCATCCTCTGAAAAAGGGTTGATTGAGCAATTTAGAACAGGTTTCCGTTATTCTTTGTTGGAACTTCCCTGATTTACTTCTTGACCATTTACATTCTACTTCCCTCTATAATATAGCAGTTGTTTACAAAGTTCTGAAAGAGATGTTAGGAAACCTAGAGCCAGAAGTGTGCTTAGATATCTTTAGAGGTTCTAGATTTGGGGGCCTTAGTCCCATATTTATATTGTATTTAGATTAGAAAAATGTGGAAACTTCCAATTATGATCTATACCAATTACCTACAAAAACAAGTTATATAAACCTAATCTACACACAGACATTGTGGGCTTACAACCTCTCATGCTCTGTGGTGAATTTACTAATATGGGAGAGAACAACTTTGAGGTTTTGGACTACATGGTTAATAGCATGTGTATCTATATTAATAATAGTATTTTATATGTTGTTCCCAGGTGCTATCTGGATAGCATCTTTAGTGCTTTTAGAAGAGCCAGATCTCTGACACATCTTTGAATGTTTACAGTGTTTGAGCCACACACATAACTACTGCTCTACCATTTACAACTCAGCCTGTGTGTACCTCTGGGATGCATTTTCTCCAATGCTGGTAGAGCCCATGACTTTTATAAAAGAAAACAATGCAAGAGTGGATCAAAACACACAGAAACAAATACACATTTTAGCTTTATTGTAACCTAGATTTAATTTCTAATCTCATTCTTGCCCTTTCTCATGAAAACATTGAAAATTTCTTCAAACTGTCAGATTGCAGGTGAAACCAGATTAATCAGGTGTCAGAGAAGACAAAGATAACTTAAATTGCAAATATGAACCCTGTTAGAACCTTAGATGGCAAAGGAAGAAAAATAGTATTAAGGCATTTCAAACTCTGTGTTAGTCCCCGCTAGTATTGTGTCTAATTAAGCAGGGAAAAGGAGGAGGGAAAAAAAAAAAAAAAAAACCTTACCAGACAACTGATGAATTCTGCTGCCTGTCTGAACACCAAAGTTCACTTTACTCCTGCTGTGTTTCCTAGGGCCCTTCAGGCAAAGCTGCACCCAGTCCTGATACATGTTTCTTTCCCCTCCCCGGAGTCCGCGGTGCGGCTGGCTGAGGCGCCATATTGGAAGGTATAAAACTCCAGAAACGCGGAGTGACACACACACAAAAATACCCTAGACCGGCTCATTCCCCCATCTTTAAGGGCCAAGGCGCAGTACCCAGAAGACCTCCTGGACAGCGGGGGCATGGCGCAGGCCAGGCCGCGGCGGGACCTGCGGAGGCGAGAGCGCCTGCGCAGCCGCAGGAGGGCTGGGGGCGGGGCGGGGGGGGGTTAGGCAGCGGCTTCTTACCGTAACCTGCAGCTTCCTCATGAGCTGCGGGTTCCCTCGATCTCCTGGGTAATTTTAAAAACTAACTGAACCTAGTAAATCTCTTCCCACCCCTGCTGGCGATCTTACCTTATCTAGGTAAAATCCGGAGCAGAGATCTTTTAGAACAGGCAGAAAACCTGCTTTAAGGAGGGCTTGGTCAGGGTCAGTACCAACAGTTGTCCTTTAGTTTAGCTGTGATGAGTTCTGATGAGCATCTTCCCACAATCCTGGGGATTTTCCTTCTTCTCCAGCTCCCACCTCCCAGCAGACCCTTGGATATGGAGTATAAGCACGCCAAAAGTCAGAAGAGGTTTTCAAACTTCTCCACAGGAAACGTAAACCACAGACTCAATTCAGTTACTAGATGGTGCCCAGGGGATATTCTGAGCACCTCTTGTGGAAGGTTTGGATATATTTGGCCTAATTTTCCAGAAATTGCAAAGCGTTCCTGAAGGAGAAATGTTACCAAGGAGAGCTTCTGCAAGTTTTCCAAGTGTGTTTTACCTCTTTTGAAATATGATGATATTTACCTCCAGTTGGGAAGAACATATTTTTTGAGGTCTGGTTTTCTGAAAAGGTATTTGCAGTCACATAGGAATTAGTTTGTTGCTTTTACAGTAGGTTCCATAGTTGAGAACTTTAATTTACAGGAAATGACAAAAGGTCTTGGCACTTAGTACACAATGAATGCAGGCAAGGAAATTATTTTCTAAACGTCTGCTATATTCCATGCACAGTGTTCACTAGTTTATGTGGAGTAAATATTCCACAAATATTTTCTCCCAATTTAAAAGAGCTAGGGCCCTGAGAGATTTTTAACTTGTTCAAAATTATAGAGCTACCAATTAATTGATCTTAAGTTTCAAACCCAAGCACTCTTTGAAGTCCTCTGGTTTGTGGTGTGTATTCTCATGATTGTCACCAGTACCATGATTCTTTTTAATAATTAAATCTCAATTTATTCTGTCTTTGGTTCTTTTGGATAAGGGGGCAGTACTGGGGATTGAACCCATGGCTTCATGCAGGCTAGGCAAGTGCTCTACCACTGACTACATTCCCAGCCCCTAGATCTCAATTTTTTCTGACAACAATGCTACAGGACTGTTGCTTTTATCTGTAATTTAAAATAAACACAGGGGTTCTTAGACTGTGTTTCCTGAGGTTCCAGTCCTGAGCCCAGGATTTGAGATTGAGGGATTTGCTAAGAAGGTGATCCTACAAAGCAGAGTAGCAGAGAGGGAAAGAGAAGATGGGAAGAGAATAAAACCAAGTTACAGAGTCAGAAGATCATTTTGTGAGCCCAGCCCCGTGAGCTAACTCTAGGAAACAGTATAAAATCTGCCTGGGAATCTGTACTTTAGGATGGGGGCTTTTGCCTTCCATTTCCTTTCATATCTGAATGGGGATTGCTACTGGGAGTATTGACCCTCTAGCATTGCTGGCCTGGCCCACATGTGGGTTGAAAGCAAATGCTTAGATAGGGTGTCTCTGATGTTTGCTGTAAGATGCCATTGGAATGTGCATAAAGGGTAAGAGACATGGGGAGATGGTTGGAACACCCACACCATCTGTGAAGACCCCTTTCTCTCTGTCCAGATCTCCTCATATTTCACAGAAAATCCACTTCTTTCCTTCAAGACTTCTTCAAATGTTCAGCTAGTCATAATTTTTTTAATGTATCTAGTATAGGAAAGTCTAAGTGATAGTCCTCATTACTGCCATCGATTTCAGGTCATAATTGATATTCAAGATCTTTCCCTCTTCTATCCATTCTAAATTGTTCATACTTAGCCAGAAGTTCTTTTTGTGCATTCATACGGGACAAAAAAAAAAAAATCTGATTCTATGTTCCATTTAGGCTATGCTTGCTTCCAATACATTTGAACAGACCACAGAAATAACACAAGACTCCCAATGAATCCTTGAGTAGCATCATGCACAATCTCCTCATTTAAATCATGGTCAGTTAAGTCTGCCAGTAAAACAACCTCGTTCATTGCCTGCTGGTTAGTGTAATAGGAAGTTTACAACATAGCCACATGGCAGCTACAGATTTAAATTTAGTGCAACCTTACTATGACCCTTGGGAGAAATACTGCCTAACTCCACCCTGATAATCAACTCTCTGGTCCAGTAGGAACTCAAGAAGTGTTTAGAGGATCAGAGATTCACAAATGAGTCCATGGGAACATTTCTATTTTAATCCCTTGGTTCCCAGGCCTATATATTTAGCCAGCCTGCAATGGCTGTTCGTTCATCAATTGTATATTACACCTTGAATGCCAGTGAACAATCCCACAGTGTGTTTTAGTTACATCACTAAGTGGATATTCCATTTTTCTATAAGCCTGACAGCTTCTCCATGATGTATCAGTACCAGTGCATCCTTGCTTGACTTGCTGCTCTTCTACCTAGAACCCTTATATTTTATCTGTTCATCACTTTTTTAAAAAGAAAACTCTTTTCATTCAGACCTTTCTCTCAGGCTTTGAACTGGGGGTATCCCAGGCTATGGCCAACAGTAATGGATATCCTAACAAGAAGCTCTATGTTTTAGAAATTTGGATTAGAAATATGTAGGAACTTCAAATGACATTTATAAATGGGATCTGTAGGGTTGGCCCAAGATGATTATAGTTAGGCTCTCTCCTCAAGCTTTCTGGCGGGCTATTTTTAGTATGTAGCCAAGGTCATAAACACTTTGATGCAGCATATGTACTCAGAGTCATAAACATGTTCTTGTGGGCATGGCCTCACTTATTTAATCTGTTAGCAATATGCCTTCTTATTTTCTGTTAGCAATATGCCTTCTTTTTGGCCGGCATATAAATAGGCCTCTGGAATGATTGGTGCCGCAGTCTGGCTGGGCACAAATAACCGGGCCGCCATGAGGCACTTGTAGGTTCAAACAGGAAACTTTATTGCCTGAACTCCAACAGCACTCCATGCACACTCCCCGGGGAACTCTCCCAAACACCACCCACGTGGCCCCTCTCAGGCACACCACCCCAAGTGGAACTCCCTACCCTGGAACTTCACCAACCAACATGAACTCCCCAGGAATTCCTGGGAGAACTCCAAAGTAGTGGGCGCCCAAGGCGGACAGCAGGGGTCTATATTCGATTGAATAAATCCAGCATCATCTTAATGGCTCGCCTCTCAACCATTACTTCTGGCAAAATGCCAGGGGCCATTCCAACTGGGCTGTGGCTCTCAACAGACTGGGGTGGGGGAAGATATTGCTGCCTCCAAAAAAGTATGTCTACTATCACTACTGCACCTGGCATGTTCATTCACCTGCCAAAATCCTGAATCTGTTTTCAGTGTCTGAGACCATGAAGGACAGGCCCATGTCTCTAACTATCCTCAACCAGGCCACAGATTGTGGACCTGTAGACAAGTGCACTTATCGTCTGAATACAACAGAGTATTTTCAGTTGGAACCACTTGGAGCAGAAGTATCTCACAGCCAAACTTGACCCAAATTTCTGACCAAAATACTGATTAAATCACTATGAGAAAATATTTTTTGTAAGTCACTATCTTTCGGAATAAATTTTAAGCAGCAATGCGCCACTACTTAAACACTGGTAGTTATAATTTACCTTGATTACAATGAGGAACCATAGTTACTTCTTCACAGTAGAGGTATAAGGAGTTTATTTGGAATACAGGGCATGACATGGCTTTTCTGTGGTCCATGTTGAACTGACAGAACCAGCAACCACAGTTCAAAATCAATGTCACTGAGAATTCAGACCTTAAGGTGATGATTTGGTTCACCTCACAAAGAACATAGAACATCTGAAGTGTCCCTGAGAATAAGGAAACCTACTAAGCAGTACTATAATCTGAGTATATGTGTCACTCCAACATTCATATGTCCCCAAGGTGATAGTATTAGAGGTGGGAGCTTTGGATAAATAATCAAATCATGAATGTTCTGCCCTCATGAATGGTGTTTGTCATTACAACAGATGTCAAAAGGGACAAACAAATCATTTTACCATTCCCCCATGTCAGGACACAGCAGCTAGGGGCAATGTTGGATGCAGAACGTGAGCCCTGAGCAGCAACTGAATCTTGGACTCTCCAGGGTCCAGAATTGAGGGAAATAAATTTCTATTATTTATAACTTTCAAGTCTATAGTGTTGTTAGAGCAACTGGGATGGACCAAGGCAAGTGGGAAGAGAGGCAGATGAAGAATATCATTTATGGTTATAAAATCAGCCACTGTAAACAGGAAGTTAGTTTTCCACTAATCGTTCTTTAATAAATCCTTGCAGAGTTTCCTGGTGACAATGAATTTTTACACCTTAGATATGAGGTGTCCTCCAAAGCTCTTGTGTTAATACATAAGATGAAATGATTATATTATGAGAGCTGTAATATAATCAATAAATTAATTTATTCAATGGATTAATATTTGAAAGGACTACTGTACTGGGAGGTAATTCAAGGCAGGCATGGCTGGTAGAGGTGGATCACTGTGGTCATTTCTTTGAAGTATATGTTTTGCTTACTCTCGCTCCCTCTTTCTGTCTCTGTCTCTCTCCACCACCACCACCATATCTCTCTCCTTCTTGGCTACCATGAATCAAGAAGTTACCTTCCACTGTACTCTTCTTTCATGATGTTCCACCTCATCTTGGGCCTAGAGATATGAAGCTGGCCATCAGTGGACTGAACCTCTGAAACCAGGATCTCAAAAAAAAAAAAAGTCAACTTTTCCCCACCTCTAAGTTGTTCTGGTCAGGTGTTTTGGTCTCATAAATGACCATAACCCATACGGATACACTTTTTGAAGAGACTCTATCATGGACTGGTTCTACTGGAGAAGAGGGAGACTAAATTATATTCCTTATAGTCCAATTTGTACTCCAGATTATGTTACTGCATCCAGTTCTACCTGGGCTGGAACAAGTTTCATGCTGGTGAGTACTCTGCTTCAGGCCTATGCCTTTGCTATTTTTCCTGCCCTAAGACTTCTCTAATGCTCAGACTGGATCTCTCATTAGAACACACTTAAAATCATTCCTGTACAAACTAGAAGATAAGTCTGTGGGATCAGTCTTCATCCCAAAGGGACGGAAGTTGATGAATAAATGCTTTTCTTTCTTGACTTCTTGGGGTCGGAGTTCTGAAATGCATTATGTACCATTCCTCAAAATATTCCAGTGGAAATGAATGGTTCTAACACAGCTGCCTAAGTCTTTTTTTGTGCACATCTTGCTACCGTGGGTCCTAGATGCTGTATGTGGAGATATAGGATCTGTTTGCCTGGTGAGGTTTTGATCTTGTTTTGATCCCATCCCTTTTTCTATGCCTCAATTCCTCCCTTTTAGAATGGAAAGGTTGACTCTGTGCCATTACTTATTAGATATATGTGACGTGCTTTTGGTTTTTATAGAGTTTCATAGCCAATAGTTTCCTAGGAGTGTCAAAAGAGACTTTGGATGTGGATATTTGGGCAATCTGAAACTGTAAAGAAAATAATACTATTAGTAATGGACTGAATGCATTTTGCATTGTGAGATGGACATGAGCTTTTGAGAATCAGGAGCAGAATATTTTGGTTAGGATATGAGGTATACTCCAAAGGATCCTGTGTTAATGCAGGAATTATCAGAAGTAAAATGATTATAGATCATTAGAACTGTAAAGCAATCCTAGTTTCAATGTCTAAGTCGGTGGTAAAACATTTTTATTGGAAAGTTCACCTTTAAAGTGAATGTATAAACACTCTTTCCTAACACAGCTTTTTAATTGTACTCTTCTTACACAGCATCAAAGTAAAATTTCATGATCAAGTTTTTCAATTGTCTTTATATAAAATTGAAAAATGCTATTTTTTTCCTTCAACTATTGAGGGCATATTATACTGGTAAAATGTAATCCAATGTGAGAACCACTGAATATGTAAAGAAAGACAGAGCAAACTTCTCAGTTCTTTTTTTTTTTTTAAAGAGAGAGTGTGAGAGAGAGAGAGAGAGGGAGAGAGAGAGAATTTTTAATATTTATTTTTTAGTTTTCGGGGGACACAACATCTTTGTTTGTATGTGGTGCTGAGGATCAAACCCAGGCCTATATCGCTTGAGCCACATCCCCAGTCCACCTTTTCAGTTCCTAATAAAACTTTATCTTGAAGAGGGCATGAATTACAAAACAAAGTGAGAAAGGATCTGTGTTAATGTTACAAAGTGTTTGAGCATCTCTATCAACAATGATAAATTATATTGGATAAGTTGCAGAAGTCATCACAAGGAGGCTTTATTTCTTTAGAATCTTGAAGGATTCCTCAAATTTAGCAAGGAGATATTGTAGAACATTTATTTTAGAGCAAAGAAATGGAATGAGAGAGAGTATATAATGACAGAAAGTAAATGGTTCAGGTTAACCTGTGTCACTGCAGGTGGTGGGCTTACTGAAAGATCAGTGGCCACCTGGGCTATGGACTGTCTTTCAGAGGCATGCTTCAGCCTTTATTTTTCACTACTGTCAATCTGATAGCAGGAGCAAAGAAAGCATAAAGAGGAGATAATGGAGAAAGAGAGAGCTCATCAAGAGGCTGTTGCTACAGTTTGGAAAATATGTTATGTCCCTTCCCCTTTGGCTTGAGGGTAAGCCCTGCACCACAGGACCATCCAGGGAGGCTGGCTCCTGGTATCCCTTGATTCTATTCCCAAGAAGCCATTTTACTCATCTACAAGGTTCAGACAGAGAGAGAGGAATGAGGAATTTGTGAAGTGCAGACTCAAATTCTGTGACACAGATGTACAAATAATCTATATTTACTCTCTTTGGCCATACCAGCTTGCAGTGCAGTTAGAAAAAATATAACCTCTCTCTAGGTTGCCATGAACTCCTCATGTAAAATATAATCACAGAATATTTAAAGGCAAACGTTTAGTATAACTCTTAGATATATGCAACCATATCTGATAGAGATTTCTTTTAATCCTGAAATTAAACTTGGCAATTTCTGGAGACGAATTCAAACTGGGCTAAGTACAGTGTTCTTATAGTTACTGAGACAGAGAGGGACATACCTAGTAGACACGCACATTGTCCAAGCCTAAATAACAACAGTCCTTTCTCTATTAATGGGATCTAAAATGTCAGTGTCTTTCTGTCTGTCTCTCTCCCTCTCTTATACATTTTGTTTGTTTTCATTTTGTTCATGCAGGTATGAAGACATGACTCTAGAAAAGAAGATATTCAGGCTTATTTGTTCTTTCTGACCATAAGGAAGATTTATGATCATTATTTGATAACGGAAGAAAAAAGCAAATTTGGCATCATTCTTCTCGCTCCATGATTTCAAGCTGTTGCAAGAAAGAACATCTCTTAAAATGATATTCAGTAAGCCTCATAAAAGTTAAAATATCGATTAAGGAAAGCTTGTTGAAATACTTTCCTAAACTGATAGTTTAATGAGACTTTATTTAACTGAAATAAAGTTCTTCTCTGTTCCATTAGTTGAACCCCCGAAATAAATGTAGTATCTTCTTTAGAAACAGTTTTGCTTTAATTTGTGGTTTTCTTTGATTGTTTGTTGTTGTTTTTACACTACTCAATTTGGGGTCTGGAGAATATGCTCAGACAGGAATAGTATCACTTTTTTGATATCCATGTGAGATAGCTATGCAGAGTCTGCTAAAACTGAAATGTCACAGCAATATTGAGACAGACTTTCTAGCACACTAGACCTTACATAAAGATCAATGTCATTGAAGAACATCACTGATGAAAGTTCAGGCTTGTGGTACTTTCAAGGTAGCTATCCATAAAAAAGAAACTCAAATCCAGCTGAAGTATGATGACACTGAACCCATGCTTGCCCCAAACATCTTAATACAAAAGAGGTATTTCTATTTCCAACACAAATATTATCATACAATTCTCAACTATTTCTTCATCAATGAATGATGTAAAAAATTGTGAGACACTTGGGAAAATGAAGTTAAAACTATTGATTTTAAAGAGCTAAAGCAAGCAACATATATAGAATTATATATTATGATGAATTATATATGTATGATGTTTAAGGATTCTAGCAGAAAGGTGATCAATATACATGAACAGATGTGGATTTGCAGCAGGAAAGTGGAAATTGTTAACAGTCAGGTGGAAACTCTGTAAACCACAAATCACAATATTAGTGATGAAGAATTCTTCAGTGGGCTCAACAAAATACTACACATGAACATAACAGAGAGAAGAATCAGAGCCCCTGGAAAAAGGTCAATAGAAATTAAAAAACAGCAGCACAAAGAGATTCATGAGTACAATCAATGATAGCTGAGTTCCCAGTAGCTTGAGGCATCCCCAAAACCAATGTCAAAGAGTTTACTGTAAATATGATTGGGATTACAAATGACAAAGTGGAAAGGGAAGAGAACATGGTTGAGAGCTTTCTGAAACTACTCGAAGACAACAAACCACAGATCCACAAGTGCAGAGAAACCGAGCAGAATAAATGCAAGGAAAACACACTCATGCACATCATAGGCAACATAATAAAACCTAATATAAAGTAAGCATTTTGCAGGCAACTAGAGAAAATGTTACATATGAGGAATTAAAAATAAAAATAGGAGCAGTTATTTATGGAAACTCTACAAGTGAGATAAAATAGAAAAAACATCTCTAAGATATTGAATAGAAAATGGCAATTCCAAATTCTTTACCTAGTGACAATGTTTGTAAATAAATGTAAATACAGAGATTTTAAAATTTTTATTTTATTTTTTATTAGAGCTTAATGATTACACATAGTTTCTGGGTTCATCCTGATAAACTCAAACATGAATGAAAATCCATTTCAGTTCATGATCTCCATCTCCCCTCACACTTCCCCTCCTCTCTCTTCCTCTATTCTACTAGCCTTCGTTTTACTTGTCTATTAATTGTAAATACAGAGTTTTACAAATTATAAAAACAATGAAAACAAATATTAATGGATTCAATGTAATCCAAGAAAAAATATGATTTTTTTCTGGGAGGTACAGAATGATCCAATAATTTATATAGAAATGCAAATGTTTAAGTACAGCCAAGAAATTTTTGATGAACATTGTAGAAAGACTGAGCACAGTAGAAATAAGACATAATTCTTATGATTCTTTAGTTTGTAATACATCATTATATTTGTGCTTGAGTGGGTCAACAGGCCGAAAGAATTGGGAGAGTTGCAAAATAAACAGTCATATATTGTTATCAAACTTACAATTTCTTCATGAGTTTGGAGACAAAGACTATCTTCTGTTTAAATTGTTTTGGGAAAATAGGTCATCCTTTTTCAGAAAAATACTTTGAACCCATAATTCACACTACATAGATCTTAAATTTTTGCAGAAATTTATACAGATACATATGAAAGGTCAAATGACACACATTTAGAGAAATAAATATATAAGGAGCACCATGTAGATAGATGTGAAGATACACACAGGCAATCACACATACATCCCTCCTACCATAAAGTAAAATGTTGTTGACTACAGTCAAAAATTCTTTTCACAAAAATTCCATAAAAGGTGTTAAAGCAAATCACAGAATGAGAAATGACATTGACAAATCATATAACACACAGGAAACTCATATCCTTTATATTTAAGGAATGCCTAAAAATCAAGAAAAAGACAGAATATGATAGAAAAAGACATCACAAAACATGAGAAAGAACTAGTGTACAAACACATGAAGAAGTGTTGCACCTAATTTATTTGAGAAAAATGCAAATTAATATCTCAATAAGATACAACACATTACCATATACAGTACAGCCCCTGTACTTCAAAATGTGGGCAATTTTGGTGTGGAAACAATCATATTATGCAAGAAAGACTCTGAAGTCATGGCAAAGCTGATGTAGAAGGACAAGATTCACTTCCTCTAACCTAGGAAGTCCATTCCTAGGGGTGTTACACAAGGCAATTGTGCATACACACACACACACACACACACACACATATTTCAAAATCAACTGAATAATATTTCAGAAAAGATAAACCTGAGAATTTATATATTTATCAATAGTAAAATAAACAAAGTCATTTTATTATATACAATATATACATTTCCAACTACACAATGAAATAGAAGAATCTTATTGATATCTTTTTGGAAATGAAGCAAAGTACAAAAGAAGACATGCAATAAAATCTGATTTATCTAGAAAGAAGGTCAAACTAACTTACGTTATTTCAGACATCATTTGTGTATGATATAATCCATGAGGAATTCAAAAGTTGTGATACTGGTTGTCTCTAGTAGGGTAGTCAGAGGTTGTAATACACTCCTTTGGGGTTTTAGCAATGCTCAATTTATGTTTCTGGGGTGTGATTTTTATAATTTTTATGCTTTATATTTGATGTACTCCTCTGAATGTGTCATATTTCATAATTTTGAAAAACAGAGAAGGCGATATAATTTGCTAGAATCTTGCTTTGAAAAGGATCAAGGGATTGTGTTATAACTGATTGAGATAGAGGATCAAGAGAAGTTTCAAGATACTTTTGACTCATAGAAAGGCCCTCTCCTATAGGTTCATAAAGAATATAACCTTGGGTTTCTTAAATACAGTTTATATTGTTACACTTTAAACTTTTTTGTTGTTGTTGTTTCAGTGTAGAATGTAAGATCTGGTTCTGATTTGGTCTCTTTCTAAGTTTGCCATGCAGTTGTCTCTTTCTATTTAGAAGTCCACCTTTACTCTCCATACTTCCTATAGTTTATTTTGGACTTTCTATTCTGTTCCATTGGTGATCTATACATTCAAGACTCATTACCACATTTTTAACCTTTATTTTTAACAATGTATCTTCTTTTTTTGTGTTGAGTACTTTTATGTTGTTTTCACACTGTGCTTTTGGTTTTCATTCTTTCAGTAATTCTCTCTACATTTTAATATATTACTTACTATTGTTTTATTAAGCATGACAAGAAAGACAATATCAAAATGGTTATTAATGTGGGGTCCAGATTCAAAAGCCTCCTGTGGTATTGCCTTGAGATGACTTAATTATCTTCAGTGCCTTAAATTTAATAACTTTAATAATAGTCCCACTAATAAACATGAAAATGTTTTAAATAATGATAATTACAATAAAGCAATACTTCATGTTCATAGGATTTTGTGAGCAATAGATGTGTTATTACAGGGACCACAACTGGAACATGGTGAATCCTGAAAAAATATTAGCTGCTATTACTAACTATTTACGATGCTAAGGAATAAAGAAGTTGTACACGTTTACTATTGCGTTGTAACAAATGACCACCAACTAAGTGACTCAAAACTTATAATAAGAGTGAGATCTGAGTTTCTAAAAAACATTTCAGTAATAATAAATTAAAATGCTCAGAGAAAATGGCACATGTGGTATAGAAGCTTCTATTATATGACAACATAGAACTTGAGAAATGTTGGAAATAAACATTTACTCAGGATGCTCAGTAAAATTATCTCTTAAAATATGCTAGAAAGGGCTGGTGTTGTAGCTCAGTGGTTGAGCACTTGCCTAGCACTTGTGAGACCCTGAGTTCGATCCTTAGCATCACATTAAGATACATAAATAAAATAAAAGTACTGTATCCATCTACAACTACAAAAAATAAAAATAAATATGTTACAAAAAAAGAAAGAAAGAAAGAAAGAGAGAGAGGAAGAAAGAATAAGAGCAAGGGCCGGGGTTGTGGCTTAATGGTAGGGCCCTTGCCTTGCATGGGTGATGCACTGGGTTAGATCCTTAGCACCACATAAAAATAAATAAATAAAGGTATCATATCCATCTACAACTAAAATAATATTTTAATAAATACAAGCTTATACCCTACAGTTCTGGAAATCAGAAGTCTGCGAGGCTAATCTCAGGCATTAGCAAGTTTGTGATTCATATGAAAACTCCAGGAGAGAATCTATTTCCTCACTTTTCATTGTACCTAAATAATTTAATCATTTAATTTCATGATAATAAGATCAATGGGGACAGAAATACATAGTCTAGGTCTTAGTACTAAAAAACTGTCCCTGTTCATCTTTCAGTGCCTTTTCTTGTCATTTTGTATCCAATGACACAGTTCTGTTCTAGGTGACAGAGTATGTGGGGACACATGGGAGCCAAGGAAGCTGGTGGGAAGGAAAGTTTGTGGACCACTGGTGGAAGCAAATTGCTCCTCTAGAGTTTTCTAAGGGGAAGACCTCTTATTTGGTGGAGAGATACTAGAGGAGTGTTAGTGAGCTAGATGTCAGATTATTTGTAGTGTGGTCTAGACTAACAGTATAAATGGTGGGAACTTTGGATAAGCAGATTAAATATGGTATGACCCAGGTTTAAAAGTGTGTTGAAGATGAGTAGTAATGATAAAGAAAGTTGTTCTTTCCAACTATGCCATTTCCTCAGGTGTAAAATACATGTTATTTTCTGTTTTGTGGTCTGCATAGCTCACAAAGATTCCTATAGAGTATTGCTAAACAAATGCTCAGCCAGTGTGCTGGTACCTTATAGAGTTGAGGTCAAGTCTAGAAACATAGCTGAGCAGACTTTTGCTGATACAAGAAGTTTAGAGAAATAAAATTCTCAAAGAACAGAAAAAAAAGTACAGATATTAACACTAATGTGCTTTTCTTTTGTATATAAGTAAAAAACATTTTGAGCAACTAAAAAATAAATGATGGACTTCTAATATCTCCCCACTGTTAATTCTTTACATAATTAAGTAGTTATAAGGGATAAAGAAATGTAACTTTGTGGAGTATTCCTACAATTTTTAAAACTTTTATTGGAGTTAAACAAAACAAATAGAAAGGCGTAGCAAAGTGTATTTTAATTCTAGTTTTAAAGAAATTCCTAATCTCCTGATGAAAATTTAGAAGCTTTCCCCATAGAATTTAACTACTGTGAAACATTTTTAAAAAGAGTTAAAACCATAATAGATTTATGGCTTAATAATATTTTATAGTTAAAACTATGTATTAACAGATACATTCATTTAATCAATATTTTTAAATAATCAAGAGGCTCTCATAAAAGACTGAAAAGGTTATGAGGATTTAACTTTCACATATAGAAAGTATAAAACTAAATGAGCATCATCAGAATTTTGGCACATTACACATTACTTATGCCTATTATTTATGAGGTCTAAAGGATTTTAAATAATACATAAATATTAAGACCAATGTTTTCTATTATAAAATTCTCTGAGCTATGAACTAACTCAGGTGAGGATGAATGCAAAGGAAAAGGCTTTCTCTTTAGCCCTTAAGCACATGACACAATTTTACAGTAGTATTTCCTTTCATCCTCTAGAGATGTCCATCTCATCATAACATTATTTGCTTTAAGCTTGGAATTTCTCCATGCAGAGGTCAACTGACAATGCTGATGATTTGCCCCATTGCTCATAGAAGAGCAGCCTTCACCCAGTTGAGAAGGGCACATTGTTTTAACTTTACCACTGGGGCCTCCTTTTGATGGCATCTAGCACTGGGCCAGCAGCAAGAGTGATGCTGAACAGAGGCCAAAACCTAGAACAATTTCCATTTGACTGTGGTTAACAACACCTAGGTAACTTGTCATACCTAGAGACAAAATGAAAGATTAGGCAAAAGGCTTTGGGATTGTTTAAATGTTCATTGTCCCACATTTTATAGTTTCTCATCTTCAGTGAAAGGAAATAGGAAGAGGAAGCTCTGATGTTTTCAGTACGTTAGAGTATGCTACATGAATCACTAGCACGGTGGAGATGCTGGATCTGATCATGAAACCTGGTGATATGAGCTTGAGGGATCATGTCACCCCTTTCCTGAGAAGTAATAAATAAAAACAATAAAACTTAGCAATAAGCAAGGTCAGCCTCATTCTGATTGCCTACACCACTGACTTGTCCTTACTACCTTTAATGCACAGAAACAATAGACATTTCCATATTTTTCTTTTCCACTTAGGTAGGTCCATTCTACTTCTACAGTTAGTCACATTCCTCTTTCTCTAGTTCCAGAAACATCCAGTCCCTGAAATGTTGGAGTCTGTAGAATTCCATCCCAAGGCTCCTTTTTCACCTACACTACCCAATTTCCTTGAGTAATCTTAGTCACAACTTGACTTCAATCCTCTTTCCCAATCCTCTTTTCCATTTTTAGGAAAATATTAACAGTGTTTGTAAGAGAAGAAACTGACACAAAAACAGAATATCTAGGTGATGTTCAGTCAGGCGAGGTCTGAGCCTTAGATGAGGGAAATTGTTCAGGTCACCAAAATTTGGAGGGACAAGTACAAGAAAAGAATGAGGGGATCAAACACCAGAGTTTGCCCATAATGCCTTTCAGAAAAGAGCTATAATCCCCAAAATACCCTGAGGTAGTTACTGAAAATCTGGTATCCACAGATTCCATGGTAAGCCAGGGAAAATGTCAGGATGTTGTCTATCTTATGAGGTGTTCCCACAGGAATTCGCCAAAGAATCTAGGGAGCAGCAACACTGAGGATACCACTAATGGGAAAGGCAGCTTCAATGGCTCACAAGGGTGTGAGATACTCACATTTAGTTATCTCTTTGGGGCATCGCTAACCTCATATAAAACTGGGGACACAACAGTTCTGCTTCACAGTAAATAGATCAGATGAGAGAATGCATGCAGAGGGCTTTGTACAGTGCTTGGGAGAGAAGAACTCCTGCTTATTGAGTGATGAGAAACTACAGGACTTGGTGAAACAAGCACTGTGAGTTCAAGGCCATAAGAACCAGAGATGACTTAGGCAAGGACAACAGCAAAGACAAAATGCAAGATGAAATTGATGAAACAGGTATAATCGGGACAAAGGATTTTCCAAAGCCATTAACAAATTAACAGAAAAGGCTAATCACTATGGGACAGAAATGCCTTGCTATAGATTTAATAATTTATATTCTTATTCTACTCCACTCACCATTCTAAATCCAAATATTAATGTACTTGCTTATCACAATAACCTCACAAATATGTCTAACCCCCATTTCTATTCTATGCAAGAGGAAAACAGGCACAGAGGACATAGATAACTTGCTTACACCATGTATTTGGTAACAGTGGAGCTTGGATGCACACCCCACGGTCTGATGCCACAGTCCCTGCCCCGAGCCACCCTAGTACTCTTCATCTCCCCACACTGTTTCATGCTCTCATCCTTATAGAGAAAGGACAGAAACACAACCCTAGGCTGAAACAACTGATTCAATACCTGGAGCAGATGTGCCAAATTCCTGTGTTGCTGTGCCAAAATGTTTGCTATTTCTATTTCCATTTGTCTTATTTGCTGCTGATGGAGTCTCTCCTTCTCCTCCATCATTTGCTGCATCTGCCTATGAATCACCACCGCATTTTCTGCTTCAGCCTTGGCAGCCTCTGCTTTCACACGTGCCTCTGAGGAGAACAAGGAAAAGGATAAACCTTCTAGGACAGCTCTGTCCCTCCCTTGGGCCTCCTGTTCTCATTCCTTATTGTTCCAACCCACACAGAAAATTCCTGCCATTGTTTTTCCTTCCAGATAACCATACTGCAACTGATCCTGCCATACTCAGATACCACCTGTGGGGATAAGAAGCCTCTTTGTCTGTCTTGATCTAGGTGAATGATCTATCAGCTAGGCCAGGATACATGAATTTCAAATTTCTGGACATTTCTTGTCTTTCTTGCATTACTTCTGTTCTCTTCTCACCTTCCATCTCCTTTTCCTTCGCTGTGAGAGCATGGTCTGTCTGTAGAACAGCATTACGAACAGACTCTTTGGACTTTAAATACTTTTGTAGAGCTTCCTCAGCCTAGGAACCCCAAAAACACACAGTAAGATCCAGGAAATTGTGTTTAGCGATGTGCTACAATTATACTTGTTGTTCCATCAATCATCTTTTCCTCTTAGAAGGCGCTCTGCCTGCACCTGATGGAGAGGTGCATCAAGCCTCTCCACAGGTGGGGTTCAGAACCTGGCTGGGCCAATCAGAGCACCCAAGGCCACTTGATGAAGAGAACTCATTCACAGAAGGAAAAATACTACAACTTGAGTGTTTTAAAGACTGGTAAGGATGCTGGGAAAGACATGTTCTGTTCCCGGAGGATTGAGGCACTAAGAGGAATTAAACTTTTATTCAGTTGTATCTTCCTGGTTGTCATGTGGGGCAAGTCTATTTGAAAATGAAGCCAATTATCAGGAAAATGGAGCAGAATAATGAAATAGGGGTTGGAAAGGAAAAGGAAAAGAAGACAATTGAGGACACTGTTTGAACTCTGGAAAGTATTCATATTAAAAACTTTTGATTTTAGATATTTAAACCAATTATAGTTTTTCTTAAATAAGTTACAATAATTGGAACTCTGTTCTGTATAGCCAAAAATGGTCCCTTTGTTGCAGTCAGTACTCATGTTTGCAATAGAATTCTAGTGATTATGGTGATGGTTCAGTTTAATTCCACAGCTATCATTAGCACACCCACATCCTGTGCTAAAATACCAACACCAGGTACATAATTCCCAGGCATGCTCATTCAGTTACAGAGTAACTCTGAGGCAGAGACATAAACTGCACCTCTGTTCCTGTGTGCATGTCCTGTCCTCAATGGCTTTTTAAAACAGATACCTCAGCATTTCACATAATTAATAGATAGAATCCTGGGAAATACCTGTATTCCTTTCCTGGGCTGTTGATGATACTTTGTCATTAGCTCCTTTGTCTTCTGAAGGTAGAGATTATGGCCTCCTGGCTTAGAATAAAGCCCCTGCTTCACTGCTTCTTCCAGAGGACCAAAAATATCCTGAAGTAAAGCTGAGCAACAATCAGAAGAGGCTTTCTCATTCTTCTTACAAATGTCGTTCTGCTTTGCATCTAGTAGGGTCTTCAAAGGGAAAGAACCCACGGAGATATTAGCAACACCTCAGTCTTTCTGAAATTTATTTTTAAAGAGATTCTCTATTTATTTAAGAAATGTCAAAGAATATGAGCAAGACTATACCCTTCCCAGCAAACCTGAAATAGTTACAAAAATGATAGTCTATAAAATATGGCATTCATTTTGGGGTATGAAATTTCCTGAAACCCCTCTCTTGCATTTCTACTTTAGATGTGATCTTATGTCCACAGACCTCTAAACTCAAATCCTCATTTTAAATGCAGCCTACTCTTTTTCAGCATTTCTGGTTTCAGGATTTTTCTACCTTCAAGAAGTAGAAGTGAATAATTAGCTGGAATGACGTCAACTTGCTCTATTAATCCTAGATAGCTCATACTTTAGCAGATCCAAATGACAATTCTCTCTGCTTAATAAAAAGATAAAACATGACTTTGTAAATACAATTTTTTTTCTTTTCACATTTTTATTGGTTCATTGTAGTTGTATATAATGATGGGATTTGTTTTTATGTATTTAAACATGCAAAGAATACAACAATATATTTTGGCCAATATTATCTCCTGTAAATACAATGTTTTAAAGGAATGAAATCAATTCAAATTTAGCTCTTGGGTGTAACATGGTAAAGTTGAGCTGTGTGCATAGAGGAAAACTTCAGACCCTAAAGGGCCCAGGTATTTACATTTTGTTTACAAATGAAAAGTGACAATATGTACACATAGGCAAATATCATTATTTTCTAGTCTAATAGGAATTGTTTTTCTTAAAAAAGTCTTATTGTGTTATTCACAGTAATATTTTTCCTTCTGTTAACCCTAAACCACATGAATTAGAATAAAACACACAATTACCTGTAATTCCTTCTGGAAACTTTGGTCCTCATCCTTGAAAGAGTTCTTTTTGAAGATTTCTATGGCCTCTCCCTCGCTGGACCTGTGCAGGTTTACCAGCTCCTGGAGGGTCTCTGTGGGCAGCTGCACCTTCTGGCCCATCAGTTGGTCATAGTGGGAAAGTGCCCTTTTTATTGCAGCTGCATTCTCTCTCTGGGCCAGGGTCATGACTGCGTTCTCCATGCAGGGCAGATCCCTGCTGCTGATAGCGTTGACATAGGTCCGTACCAGGTTCTCTAAACCTGCACAGAGGAAGAGATTCTGGTGTTATTTGCATAAAAAGTCAATGAAACAATTGACTAATTGATTAATTAATGTCAACTAATTCTGATAACATTCATTCAACAACTTTCTGACCAGTAGAGAACTTTCTTTAGGAAATCGTGAGATTAAGAAGACAGGTGTTTCCTTCTTTGGGAAAAGAAATAGGGGCTAAAAAAGAAAATAGCAAAAAAGTCTAGATATATGATTGTATGATTTTTTAAAAAATATTTTTATTAGTTGTTGATATTTTTTTTTTACTTCTTTGTATGTGGTGCTGAGAATCGAACCTAGGGCGACACACATGCTAGGCAAGCGCTCTACGACTGAGCCACAACCTCAGCCCCAAGATATATGATTGTATGATTTTAATCCTTCTCCATAGAGAAGTAAGCAGATGATCTTATAAAATCATGCACATTCATGTGATTGGATTTTTTGCCTCTTTAATCCTCCTTTTATTTCCCTCTGCCTTGGATTTCCATTTTCTTCAAAATTTCCTCTTCTCTCATTTTTTTTTAAGTATTTAAGTTATCATACCATTCTCTGAAAAGAAGCAAATTATACAATTTAGACCAATTGTCCCTTATTCTGTGTTGGAACTTTCTGGTTTTCCTTCTTTGTCATTTTTCTACTTCCCTCAATAATACAACAATCATTTACAAAGTTATGAAACCTGAAGTTGTTAGGTAAAGGTAGAGCAAGAAGTCTGATTGGATATCTTTAGAGGGTCTAGTTCAATACTGGACCTTAGTTCAATACTTGTAGCAACCAAGTTCCATTTTCACAGGGAACAGGTATGTGTCACTATATCTACCAAAATTGTGACACACCACATGCATCTAATTTATTTGTTGAACAAATGCTGTCAATCTACGGAGAGTAATCTAAATGAACAGGGGAAGACTGAAAGATAAAATATCTAACTTCATCATGTTCCTGTTTCATGTAATCTTATAGGCATTACTAAAACAAATATTAGAAATACTTTTTGTATTCATTATAGCTTTTGTAAACATGGTGCATATGATTTGCACAGTGGTAATTGTTTATGCAATGTTGACCCAAGGACCTTGTTACATGTTACACATTATGTTGAATAGAAGGAAAATCCTTAAAGAGATACTCACAAGGTCCATTGACCTTGATGCCTCCTGGAAGTGTCTTGATCTTGGACTTGTTGAAGATGTGGGAAGAGAATTCTGCCATTTGTTGCACAAACTGAAAACTCAGATCATCCTCCTTCAGTGTCTCTAGCTGGGAGATCTTCTTCTGGTGAGTGGGTGAGTCAAAGACAAAGCACTTCCTGGTTGGAAAGAACTTCTGAATACACAGACGAGGCAAATTGAAACTTTGAGTTCTTTGATCACTACCTGGAGAAGAAAAAAACAGTATTTATTTTCTTTAGAATTTACATTCACTTTAATCTATTCTCCTCAAATATATGTCCTTTCCCTGGTGTTACTCAACTTATTATGTCTTCATATACCGTTAGAAAAATATTAAGGATAACTAATCAGGGGAAAGAAAAAAGGAAAGAATTTTTCCCAAGAACAAGGGAGTAATAAATTTTGATATTGAACATATTACTTCATTTGAAATTAATAATATTCATTATTTTTTTTAAACAGCTAGGTGGATAAATAGGGAAAATGATACATTTAGCCTTCTACCAAAAGAGATCATTTCTTGGGTTACTTTCCTTCTTCTTTCCAAAACCAAAGCATTTATTTACCTTTCTTCATCTTCAGTGAATTCTGCAGATATTCATCTGCTGTCATGAGTTGTCCATCTCTTTCCAGGCTTAGGTAGAAGTCTCTTATACTCCACACCAAGTCTGGAAAGAAGTTTCCAATGTCATCAGCATCTTTCACTCCATTGTCAGGCAATGTCCTTGCCCTGAGTATATCTGTCAGTTCTGTCACATTGCTGAGATGATTAAGGAAAAGTAGAAGAAATAGCACAGCATCTAAGCCTATATTTGATTTCATGTTCCCTAAACCTGCATTTTGCATTTGGCAACTAACAAATAAACATTTCATCATCAGTGAATATGAGGGCTCTTGACTGTACATTCAGTGTCTACCCATTTTCATTTGGGGGATTTACAAAGTTTCACAGACTTGCAGCTGATGAATGGCGTTCTCTGTGGCTTTGGTGCCATCCTGAACCTCACAAGGATACTGCAGTAGGTCAATAGCCCCCTGGTCAATTTTGTTCATGGTATTGTATACAAAGGTGCTGCTCAGAAGGCTTGCCAGAGCAAAGATCTGGGTATCATTCTTATCATCACCCTAGAAGTCAAACAAATTTAAGTCATGTCAAATGGCATTTCCAAATGAACTATCATTGAAAATAAGATTCTGATATACAAGTGTTAAGCAGGGAAAACACAAGTGATCAAACACATGAACTTCCATAGTTTTATCATTGATAATTTTACCCAAAAGCATACATTTCTAACTCCCAAGTCCCACTTATAGCCACTGATAGATAATTGCAAAATTAATAGTCAATGGGGTAACCAGAATAGTTAAAATCAAGGTTTTCCAGGTACTAAAACAAAATCAGCCTATGTGAACAATCCATATATCTATTTTATCAAATAATTATTATCCACAAGGGAGTTCATATTACTGATCTTACCTAATTTTAATGCTGTGGGATGAACTCATAATTAATATCGCCATTTTGTAAGGAAACTGAAGCTGAAATTTTGGATTACTATCTTTGCATCTTGGTAGGTAAATCAAATGTAAAAATCAAAATCAAAACATAAAAAACAAACAGTGGACATTCAAGAGAAAGTTTGGTTAGTTGCAAAAAACAGCTCATGAGAGTCAACTGTGTACATCTCTTCTCAAGTCTGAGTTTAGTGACTTCGCTTGAGTAGCTTGTAATTAGTTATGATAGGAATCTTTATGGAATGCTCAAGTTGTACAAATCCAATTCATTTTCTTCTGTGAACTTGTTGCTAAATACTTATTAGAATATAACTAGAGAAGACCCATGCAGTAAAAAGGATCCATGTGTCTATTTCTCCTATGATGAGTTGAATAAGACCCAAAAGAATATAAAAAATTTAGGGAGACTCACTCTTCTGTCATGGTCAGAAAGCAAAAAGTGCCAGAGCTCTGAGTTGAACCGAAGTTCATCTCCTCCTGTGCCCACTACTAACCATATAAGCTTGTAAAGTGAGTTTATTTGCACCATTTTTATATACCTGGTAACTACTAAGGAAAAACATCAATGTAGTTCTAATACTCATTCTGCATTATAAGTATATTTTCTCACTTTAGGCTTCCAAACACTATTGAAAATAGAAACAAAAAAATGAGGGGCAATATAGTCCAGTCAAGTAAATGTACAAATTTATAAAAAGAAAATGAAAAACTCCTTGTACAAAGCATGTTCAGTGATAAGGAGTTTAATCATAAAAGAATCTTCTGTCCTTACCTTCTCTACATCACCCAGGCCTTCGGTGTCCAGCAGAACTAAGGTGTGGCCTGGCTTCTCAGGATGAGGCACACACCACATCCAGATTCCCTTGGTGTGAGACTGCACAGTGGAGCCCACAGAGAAGCCTGCAGAGGGGAGTGCAGGGGTTGTCACAGAGAAGGGGATCTAGAATTCGTGTATTTTCTTGATGATTCAGTTAGGGTTTAAGGAAAGCAAGATAAGAAAGCAGCAGAAAATACGATCTTCATTACAATAGAGAAATGGGGGAATAAAGTCAAATTTTGTAAGTGGAAAATTTTTATGGTTTTCATAATAATATGCAAGTAAATTTTTTAAAGTTTATAATTATGCATATGGACCATCTTATTATCCAAAGTACATGTTTGAAGACAGGAATTGGTGTGAATATACTTTGTCTACAATCAGAGATATGAAAAATTGTGCTCTGTATATGTAATAAGAATTGTAATGCATTCCGCTGTCATATATAAATAAATATGGAAATTATTTCATTGATCTCATTCTGTATGAGGGGAATATATTGTGTTTCTCCCTGAAAGACATTAAGATCGACATTTTTAAAAAGTTATATGTCAGGGACAGAAACCTTCCCTTTATCTCCCCAAGTTAAAAGACCCAGGTGTGGCCCAAACACTGGTTTTCACTGTCCCTCCTTGGCATTGTCTTTTTCCTCTCCATCCCCATGCTGGACGCCCATAGTGTGGTGGACAGAAGGCTCAGCAGAGCTCTGTTGGTGGCACTCACCCTTTTTCTTCCCAGCCAGCTGGTTCATTAGGTAGGATTTGCCTGTGCTGCAGACACCCACGATGGCCACCACCACCATAGGCTGCGTGATGGCCGACAGGATCTGCAGGGCTTCCTGCTTGACCACTAGCTGCCCCTCCATGTTCTCGATGAGGCACACAGGGCCGGGCATGTAGGTCTCTGAGGCCATATCTGGGATGTTCCTTAGTCTTCAAGGGAAGAGGTAGGATGAGCAGCAATTTCTAGTCTTCAAGCAGAAAAAGCCATTTTGCTTACTGAACCTGAAAACATAACTGTTCCCCAGCATGGTCTCTTTCTGAAGACATTAAAAAAACAAAATATAAAAAAAGATAATCAAGAGCACCATGGTAAAGTCGGTCCTAGGCCTGCTATCAGTTACCTTGCTTATTCTTAAATATTTGGTGGACATCGAAAATTTATTTCCTGAATCTTACCTACTGGTTCTTTGTATCTAACTCCTTCCCCTGGATTTTGGTTTACTTATATTCCTTTTTATATGTCCCTAGCTTGATTATTTGCCAAATATAAATTTTTGTATTTCTCTTATTTAAGTCCAGGTCCAAAGTGAATTGCATTAATTCTAAGCCATTATCTAGCATTAAAAATAATTTGCAGGTGCTTATTTCTTAAAGCTGTACTTTTGAAGTGCTTTTTACTTAGTTAATAAATCCCTTTATTGAAACAAATGTTCAAAGCATGATGATTTTATGCCTGGCTATATGAGTGGAAGACAAAACTTCTTTTATTAATATTTAACCAATTTCTACTTCTGTTCTTTAGCTCCTGTAATCTGAGGAGTCTCTGGTAAAATATTTTTAATCAAATTTTTGCTTTTCTTACTTGTCATGCTGTTAAAATTCTTCTTGAGTTTTCTGCCATTTTACAAAACTAAGAATTCACTATCTGTTTGACTTTATTTTCATGGACATCTTAAAATGAATACTTCTGGACTATTGTTGTAGCAGACTATATAAGCTGTGAATTTCTTTGTTGTTGTTGTTGTTGTTGTTGACAACCATAAAGATCCATTCTCTCCCTTTCTCATACCCAAAGCCCTGTCAATCCTCTAGAAAAGACAAAACAGAAACTGCTGCTTGGAAACAATAGTAGGAAGTCACAAATTGCCTCCACACATGGCACAGCTCCAGGGCATGGAAGTCAGGGAATGCTTGTACTGCAGAAAGGGGCAATTTTATGATGAATTTAGAAGCTCAGATGCCAGGTGTCTTTCCATTTTAATATACTGCTAGTGCAATATTGGCACCATAGATAAGTAGAATTCTGGCTGCCTGACTTACATGTAGCAGATGTGAGAATCATATTTAGATTAGAAAAATGTGGCAACTCCCAATTATAATCTACACTAATTAGCTATAAAAACAGAAGTTATATAACTAAATCTGTATACAGATATTCTGAGCTTACAAACTCTCATGCTTTCGAGTGAATTTACTAATGTGGGAGCTAACAGCTTTAAGGTTTTGGACTTTCTCGTGAATAGCATTAGCATGTGTATTAATAATAGTGCTTTATATATTGTTCCCAGGTGTTCTCTGCGTAACATCTTTAGTGCTTTTAGAAGACCAAATCTCTAGCACATCTTTGAGTATTTATAGTGTTCGAGCCACACTCATAACTGCTGCTCTGCAATTTACATCTCAGCCTGCGTGTGCCTCTGGGATGCATTCTCTCCCACTCTAGCAGAGCCCAAGACTTTTATAAATGAAAACAATGTAAGAGTGGATCAAAACACATAGAAATCAGGGCTGAGGGTGTGGCTTAGTGGTAGAGCACTTGCCTAGCATGTGTAAGGCACTGGGTTTGATTCTCAGCACCACACATAAATAAGTAAAAAATTAAAGGTCCATTGACAACTAAAAAATATTTTTAAAAAGCACATAGAAAACAAATGCACATTTGGATTTGTAGTGAGTTAAATTTAATTTTCAATCTCTCAGCCCTGTAACTAGCTATCACATTGGCATTTCACTCAATTCTTTAAGCCTAAAGTGGAAGTAATGTTTCCTAAAGTGGAAGTAAATGACTCTATTTATATCAGTACAGCTACTATTAAAAAAAAAAAAAAGAGGTTTGCAGGAGAGAGAGAAAAAGTTCAAAGAAGAAAAATGCCAAGAAATAAAAGAAAATGCTAAGAAGTGTTGTTGATAGATTTTTCTGGAAGAAAACAATTCTCTTTTAAATCCATGTTAGTCTATCTTGGGTTTTATGTTTTGTTGTTGCTGTTTTTATTATGTTTGCTTTTGATTTATTTTGTGTAGTTTTGTTCAAAGTTTAGAGGGAAAGGAAAAGGCACTGATCAAAGAGATATGTGGAAATCAAACAAACATGAGACTCATTAGCATGTGCTATGGAAAGAAGTTGAGAGGAGGAAGGAGTTCCAAGGAGTGACAAAATTGCTAGACCAATATTGAGTTTGGAAATTAAATCGAATCCACAATAAGCCCAAATGTGCATTTGTTTTCTATGTGTTTTGATCCACTCTCGCATCTTGTACATTTATAAAAGTCATGGGCCTCTACCACAGTTGGAAAGAATGCATCCCAGAGGACAGCAATATGGAGCTGTTGAATTAAGTGATCCTAACAGCGGAGACACTAGAGTAGAAAAAATAGGAACCAACACAAAAGGGACTACGGAGATTGCAGGAGTGGATGGCATGGGGGTTTAGGGGGCAAGCCAATATGATAACAATATATTACTCTTTTCAAAAAACCACTTCATTGTTCACTCTGGGTTTCAATTTTTCCTTTTTATTTTCTTTCTATTTTCTCTTTTATTTTTTCGTCCTTAACAATGCCAGCAAATATTTATGTTGATTGACGTTTTCATTTATTGCTCCCTCATGAAAATAATGAAAACTTCTTAAAATATTCAGGCTACAGTTTAAACAGCAAAACCAGGTGTTAGTAAAGACAAATGTCACTTAGTGACAATTATATGATGGGACATAAGGTGGCAGAAGAAGAAAAACAGTATTAAGACATTTTGAACCCTCAGCTATTCCCCATTGCTATTGTGTCTGATTCAGCAGGAAACAAACTTAGCAGACAATGAATTCTGCTGTCTATGTGGCTACACCACAATTTAGTCTTTACTAGATCCATTATGTAGCATGTCAGGCAGAATGCCACGCTATACTGGATACAATGTTTTAAGATCTACCGGAACCTTGCAAATCTCTTCCCACCTTGCCCATGTCCTTACCTTACCTGTAAAATCTGGAGCAAAGATCTTTTGGAGCCAGTAGAAAAGCTGCTTCCAGGAGTACTTGGTAAGATTAGTCCCAACAGCTGACTTTAGTTTAGCTGTGATGAGTTCTGATGAGCTCTTCCCCCAATCCTGGGGATTTCCATTCTTTCCCAGCTCCCACCTCCCTGAAGATAACTTGAATATAAAATGTAAGCATGCCAAAAGTCAGAAGGGGTTTACCAAACTTCTCTACAGATAACTGAAACCACAGAGCACATTCAGTGACTAAGTAGTAGCAAAGGGGATATTCCGAGCTTCCTCTGGTGGAAGGTTTGGATACATAGTGTAACTGAAGGAGAACTTTGAGCTCTTTTGTGAGTTTTCCAAGGGTGTGTTATTTGAACTAGCTTGAGATAAGATGATATTTATCTCCAACTGGGAAGAACATACTTTAGTAGGTCTGGTAAACTGAAATGTTAAGTGCACCCATGTAGTAGTTAGTTTATTGCTTTTATGGTAGGTTCAGAAGCTGAGAATTCAATTGATAGGAAAAGACAAAGGTCCTGGCATTAGTACACAATGAATGCAGACAAGGAAGTTATTTTCTAAACATTTGCTATACTCCATGCACAGGGCTCACTAGTTTAGATGGAGTACCCTATGTTAACTCTCCCAATAAAAATTGCCTCCATTTTAAAACAGCTAGAGCCCTCAGAGGTTCAGTAACCCGTTCAAAACCACAGAGCTACTGATAAACAGATCTTAAGGTTCAAACCAGAGCACTTCCTGGAGTCCTTCTGGTTTGTGGTGTGTCATAATTGCCATCAGCATCATTACTTCTTTTTCATAATTAGATCTCTTTTTATTCTGACAACAATCATATAGGACCATTGGTTTTATCTGTAATTTAGAATAAACACAGGGGTCTTGGGCTGTGTTGCCTGAGATTTCCTTCCAGAGTCAAGGATTTGAGACTGAGGGATTTGCTCGGAAGATAATGCTACAAAGCAGAGTAGGAGATAGGGAATGAAAACTGGAAGGGAATGAAGCCAAGGAATGGGGCAAGAGCCAGTGGTTCCTTTTGTGTGAACCACGAGGTTAGTCCCTTGAGCTAACTCCAGGAAACCAGGTAAAATCTGCCTGGGAATCTGGCCCTTAGGATGGGAGCGTTTTCCTCCTGCTTCCTTCAATATCTGCAGCATGATCCTGGCAGCCTGACTCCCTGGCATTGCTGGCCTTGCCACGTGTGCCTTGAGAGCAAACACTAACTAGGGGATCTGAAATATTTGTTGTAAAACATCAGTGGAATGTGCAGAAAGGGTAAGTGGTAAGGGAAGCTGGGTGGGGCACCTACAGCATCTGTGAAAACCATTTCCTATTTGCCAAGATCCCCTCATATCTCACAGAAAATCCACTCCTTTCTTCAAGACTTCTTAAAATGGATGGCTTCTCATAATTTTTTTTTAGGTACCCACAACAGGAAAGTCTAAGCTATAGCCCTCATTATTGCCATGGATTTTATGATCAAAATTGATATTCAAGATCTTCCCCTCTTCTACCCATTCTAGATTACTCATACTTAGCCATCAGTTCTTCCTTTGTACTTACAAGGGATCCTAAAAAATCTGTTTCTGTTCCAGTTAGGCTGTGCTTGTTTCCAATACATTTAAACCAACCACAGAAATAACAACAGACTCCCAATGAATCCTTGAGAACCAGACATACTCTTCCTTCTATCACGTACCATCTGCTCACACAAATCATGGTTGGTTAAGTTTGCCAACAAAAAAAAAATCTCACTTATTGTTTGAAGTATGATTCAATAGTAAGTTTACAAGAGACCTATTGAATGACAGCTGTAGATTCAGATGTATTGGAACATTATTAAGACCCTTTGGAGAAATGCTGCCTAAATTTACCTTAAGAACCGTTCTTATACTCCAGCAGAAACATAGGATGTTGTCAGTGGATCAGAAATTCATGATCGAGTCCATGGAGAATATGTCTATTTATCCCTTGGTACTGAATTCTCCAGTTACTGTAGAACTGCCTATATTCACTTCAGTTTTGTCCATTTTGACTTCAACACCTGAGAACACCCATTATTAGTGATATAAATGTTTATAATTTTATATCTTCTTTCTGTATTAGAATATTTATTAGTATGTATTATTCTTCTATCTCTTCTACCTCTTTTGATTCAAAGTGAATTTTGTTTAATATTAGGGTGACTATACTAATCCTAATAGTAGGGACAGTATTCACATGTAATATTTACCATGGGGATTATATTTAATATCTTTTTTTTCTTGGTACCAAGGATGGAACTCAGGGGTACCCAACCACCAAGCCACATACCTAACCCTATTTTGTATTTTATTTAGAGATAGGGTCTCACCTGAGCTACTTAGCTCCTCAATTTTGCCGAGGCTGGCTTTGAACTCACAATCCTCCTGCCTCAACCTCCTGAGCCGCTGGGATTATAGGCGTTGTGCTGCCACCCCCAGCTTATATTTAATACCTTAAAGCCATAAAACTCTAATAGAAACTTATGCCAGCTTCATTTCAATAACATACAAAAGACTTAATCTTCAAGAGGTTCTTCCTCACCCCTTTTAGTCATTGATATGATGAAATTATACCTTCATATGTTATGTGCCTAAAAACATGAACTAATCATTTCTTGAAACAACACTGTCTCTTAAATCATGTGGACAATAAAATACAGAGTTAAAAGCCACAGTTACAATAATGATAGCTTTAAAGTAATAACAACTAAAGCCAGCAGCTGAACTCTTCAGATCAGGCTATCAGCCTACTTTCTCCCTTGCCTCCCCATCCCTCAGATTCAATGAATCAGAAACTAAGGATTTTCTGCTCAGAAACTAGGGATTAAGCTGTGAGTGAGCATTTCCTGCCCGGCTCCTGTGCAGGTCAGTGTGGTCAAGATAAAGCTGCCAGTCTGCTCCATTTCCTCTTCCCACTTTTCTGTTGCTACTTTAGGGAAGAAATTTAAAACAAACTGAGGGTGTATTGTTTCATTCTCACAAAGAAAATGGAGCAAAAAACAACTCAAAAGTAATTTATGTAGCGTTTTTTTGTTTGATCTAAGAATAGAAATATTTTTTATTGTTCCTAGAATTAAGGATTTTTAGTCAACTTTCCAATGTTTGGATGATCCAATGTTTGGATCATTTATTTAGAAACAGTTCAGGATAAATAAACTTTGACCATTTAGTAGTGATATTTGAGAGTTGATCAGAGAGACTGAAAGTTAATTATTCCATATAAAACCAGCTTTATCAAATGTATGTAGTATTGAATGTTGTTAATACAAGGAACAATCACTTTCTTTCAACATTGCTCATTTTATTGTAGACACTACCACTTTCTTCTATTCTTTTTTAATTAATCAACCTAGTATTTTTAACCAACAGGTAATAACTAATTTTTTAAGATGGAAATTGCACCTTAAGAAACATCTTTTTTATTTTTTCATTTCCTGTCAGGGCACAATCACAAAATCAGTGTCTGAGGACAGAAGGAGAAAGGTGGAAGAGGCAATCCCACAGCAGTGCCTCTGCCTCCATGAGGCAGGAACACCCATAGACAGACAGGATAAGGGCCTCAGAGAAGGCAAAAGGGGAGGAGAATATCATGATATATCAGAAGGAAATGTCAGACCTATAGAACATCCTGTCACTACCCCTGACAGCTTTAACCACAATGGCTCTTTTTTAGCTACCCTACTCCTACCGTTAACAATAGCTGACCACCAAATCTACCCTTATGTAAAGTGTTTCCTCTCCCCAACAGACATGTCAAACCACAAGGTTGGATGGGTCCTCTTAATTATGTAAATAAGGCATTAAACTTATGCATGTATTAAGCTCAGAACATGAAGAGTTCGATTTGTCCCACACCCCACCAGTCACCTGCACTGGGCCATCAGTTATGCTTTTAAAAATCTCTAGACAACAGACACCCATTGGCATCTGTCTCTTGAAACCCCCTCCCATTTTGGGAGCTGTGCTTTCTATTACTCTAATAAATCCATTTCTTTGCTCTCACCCTGTGTCCACAGATTTCATTCCTTGAATTTGTGAGACAACAATCTACTTGACATTCATGCTCCATGTAACACCAGGAACCTGGATGTTGGTCTCTCAGGGAAAGGACTTCAGTTCTCCTTCCTCAGAGGAATGTGGAAAGAACTCCTCAGTTTCCCACGCAGAGCTCCTTTCTACCATTCTCTGGTAGATGCCCCAGGAGAAGCAGCACATCCTCAGAAATAGGGCAAGCACTTTGGCAAGAATTTGGCCTCACAGACACCTCTGGACCAAACAGAGATGCTGGCAATTAGGAACACAGCACCCAGAAGGTGGAACACCTCAGAGCCACCTGTGTGCCCCCTAATATCTCTGTCCACCTCACCAGTTAGGATGAGAAGTGGAGACTCACCATTCCCAGTGACCTTGTCTCCTTCCCTGAGGGTCTTGGTCCTTGTGTTGGTGAAGATCTAAGAATAGAAAATTTTTTTATTGTTCCTGGAATTAAGGATTTTTAGTTAATTTTCCAACATGTCCTCAATATGAGCTAGGAACTCCTTTTCATATTTTGTCTGGTCAAAGATAAAACATCCAATTTTAAAAGATATGCCTGGTATCCTTCATAGATATGTTGATTTTTAGCTTTGGGATTTTCACCTGAGAAAGAGAGAAAATGGAGTTGCAATGAGCACAGTCTTGGGATAAGGTAGCTCTAGAATTTTGACTGGTGATTCTTGTTCTTTGGAGTTATTTGTTCTTACAGATCTATTTTTACAAATTCATTCAATGCCTCAGTGCAAATCAAACTCATACCAATGATGTATCTCTGGAAATAAAATAGTAGGAAGCATTTTCCAAGGCAAAGAAATTTATAGCTGATATCCATAGAAACAAGAATCGCTCATGGATTATTAAGTGATGTTATGGTTTAGAATGAGGTGTCCCACAAAAGCTCACGTGTGAGACAACATGAGAATGTTCAGAGGTGACATGATTAGATTATGAGAGGTATAACCTAATCAGTGGATTAATCCAAACCAATGGTATGATAACTAAGTGGTAACTGTAGGCATGTAGGGTATGGCTGGAGGATGTAGGTCACTGGGGTATGTACTTGGTGTTTGAATTTTGTCCTCTCTCTCTCTTCTCTCTCTTTCCTTCCTCTTTGCCATATCCTGTTTTCCTCCACCGAGTCCTTCCACCATGATGTTCTGCCTCATCTCAGGCTCAGAGCTACTTCCCCCCGCCCCCTACATTGCCAGGTCTTTCGGTCACAGTGACACACTGCTAAAACA